GCTTCTCTTTTAGGCCTGATTTGCTCCCTCCTTGCAGCTTTCCTTAGATGATCCACTGTCCTGGCTTTTTTTAAACTTCTGAGGTCTCCAGTGCACCTTTTGCTTCACACTCCCAGCCTCACACACTGCCCTCTCAGGGGCACACTGCCTGGCCTCCCAGGCCTTCTGAAATCTGGGTGGAAGCCTCTTGAACCTCAAAACTCTTGCATTCTCCAAGCATCTAAAGCCAGGGCCATGGGGATGATGCCAAGGTCTGCTGCCACCTGGAGCAGTAGCCAAGCTTTCCTCTCTCTTGGCCACAGGGGTCGAGTGCCTGGATCGTTGGGCACTCTGAATCCAATTCTGAGGAACAGATCCTCTATGGTGCTGCCATTCTGGAACATGGTGCTCAGAGGCTTCCTTCTCAAGGCAAGGTCTTTTACCTTTGCAGTTTTGAAGCTGTAAAGGGTGGAGACTTGCTGCTTGTGATGCCATCAGGCCATCTTTTCCATTCTCTTGTTCCTTCTCAGCAATAGAGATCTCCTCAGCCTTATCTTTGCAGTCCACAGCATTACTGGAGCTTCCTTTCTGGCCAGACTCACATTTTAAATCATCCTGCTGGGCTCTTTGTTCTTGATTTTCAATATAAATCTGGCTAAGAGCCCCAACAATAGCCATGCCACTGCCCCAGTGTTTGACTGCTTTGATATTTCTTTTGCCAGATTAATCAGTCCGCTGCCGCCCTTAATCTCAGTCTTAGGCAAAGTCTCTGAACATGAGCAAAATGCAGCCAAACTTTCTGCCAAGCCATAGCACACATCGTCTGGAGTCCAACAACCAATGCAGTCTTCCCAACAGAAACCTCCCGAAGCCGGTCTTTACTGGCAGGATTTCTACCAGCTTTCTGATCTTCGGAGCTGAATGTCATCTGCTTTTAGAGGAATTCTTTTTTTTTAATTAGAGGAATTCTTGGTCTCCAATTTAGCTGTGCTTTAAAATGTCCAGTAAACAGGGTTTTTTGTTTGTTTGTTTGTTTTGCGATAGGGCCTCACTTTGTAGTTCAGGCTGTCCTTGAGTTCACTGTATAGCCCAGGCTGGCAATCCTCACGGCGATATTCCTGTCTCAGCCTCTCTAGTGTTGGGATTACAAGCATGTGCTACCGTGTCCAGCTAACCAGCTTTGTCTAACATTTAGCTTTTACCATCTATATGGTTAATGAGAACTACCAGCAGGAAAGGTAATTAATTATTATCTAGTTTTTCAAGAGTATACCCTTTTCTCAGTCCTTGATTATAAGTAATTTGTATTTCTTCCTCTCCTTCCCTTCTTCTATGGTTCTTAGAGAGTGTATAAATCTCTACTGAACAGAACTAAGGACCTTTCCCCTCTTTGATTCTTTTCAGTGTCATAATTTGATATTTTTGTACCATTAGGCACAAGAGAATAGTAGCTCGGTAAAGAAGAAGACAAAGTTCGTCAACTTATACACAAGAGAAGGACAAGACAAGCTTGCAGTCCTGCTTCCTGGCCGCCACCCTTGTGATTGCCTGGGCCAGAAGCACAAGCTCATCAATAACTGTCTGATCTGTGGGCGGATTGTCTGTGAACAAGAGGGTTCTGGGCCCTGCTTATTCTGTGGCTCTCTGGTACGTTGATTTTCTGTTTTGTTTTATTGAGCTTTGTTTTAATTCACAGGGGCCACTGAAATCCTTAGTTCATAATTTCTGTTTTTGTTAGTAAATTTCTTCCCTAAGATGTCCAGCAAACTGTACTACCAGAGGTCTGATTAGTCTGAAGCCCGAGGTTATAGCCTAGCACTGAGGCCTATAAAGAAGGCTTTACGAATATACATTGTCGAGGAAGCCAAGTCTGTATCAGATTAATTTTATTTTATTTATTTATTTATTTATTTATTTATTTCTGTCTTTTTGAGACAGGGTCTTGCTATGCAGTTCAGGCTGGCCCTGAGCTCACTTTGTAGCCCAGGCTGGCCTCGAACTCGCAACGATCCTCCTGCCTCAGCCTCCCCAGTGCTGGGATTACAGGCGTGCACCACCACGTCCGGCCTCAGATTAATTTTAATTCAAAGAAACTTTAAAGCCTGAAATGTTAGAATTTTTTGTCGAAGTCTTCAGATGTGGCTCAGATACATAAGGTACTGAGCCACCGTGACTTAATCCTTTAGTCATTTTAGCTTCTGTTTCAAGGACACCACCTTGTTAAACTCTACTTTGAGAGAATGACCTCACAACGTAAGAGGAATGACTCACTCACAAAACCTTAATGAGCTGTCCAGAAAGCTTATTTGACTTACTGGGCTGCCCGGGAGGAGCAATGGCATTTGATGTTAGTAAAGGTGTCCGTTTTGTATTGCTTTATTTTCTCATCTCTGGTGGGGCCCTTCATTTTTCATTACACTCAGAGTAAGCAGAAAGACAATAAATGAGCTGAAAAATACAGTTTTTCCTTATGAAAATGTCCATCAGACGGCAGTAAATCTGGCAGGAACGCTGTTGCTATTCAGGCCGCTGCTAGGAAGCTCAGTGTTTTTGCTTATATCCCTTAGACTCTGGTTCATGAAACAAAGGGGAGAAAAGCAGAGTGGCTGAAGTCTTACAGTTTTATAAGCTCCATATAACCCTTTCTTGGCTCCCTTCTCACACGTGCAGTAAATTCATAATAAACAGAGCCATTTATTTGTTTGTTTGACAGAATCTGAGTTGACCAGGCTGGGCCTGAACTTGCAAATCCTCCTGCCTCAGCCTCACAATGTGCTAGGATTACAGGCGTGTGCCACCATGCCCAGCTGGCTTTTTTTCTTAATATATTTATTATATGTAGGTAGTGTTTGAAGCAAAGATTCTAAATATATATAGTTGGTCCAGGACCATAGCTCAATAGTAGATTCCTTGTCTAGCATGCCTGAGGTCCTGAATTCTATCACAAGTTTTACACAGACACAAATAATGTATATATTTGTATATATATGGTATAAAACCTAGACTAATTGTCTTATTTTTTTTCTTTTGTGGAAACCTGGGCTAATTCTCAGTGGTGGCATGGTAATTCGCTTCTTTTTCTGGCTCTTTCTAGTAAAACAGCTGCTTGTAATTTATCTTCTCAGATTTGGATTTCATTATTAGAACCAAGAAGCTTTAAGAAAAAAGTCTTGTATGATTTTTCCAGTACTCTCAACAAAGGCAAGTATTTGTCCTTTGAAAGTAGGTTAGTGGTTTTTTTGTTTGTTTTTTAAATCATCAGGTCGTACAAGGGTACCTGCATTCCTGCAATAAGGTAAATTTTTTATATAGCTAATAAAAGGGAGAGAGACCTCAGGAGACCGAGGCAGGAGGATCACCAAGAGTTTGAGGCCAGCCTGTGCTACAAAATGAGACCCTGTCTCAAAAAAACCCAAAAAAATAATAGGGAGCAATGCAAAAAGACCTTGGGCAAAACAAATGTGATTGTGGTATTTTGGATAAAAAAGCACTGACAATCTCATGTCATATCTATAGCTTGAAGTTACTCTGTGCTAATGTGAGATACTTTTAAAGTATATCCAGCCAGTGATATAATTTATTGGATCATATATCTTACTGTTTTACAGGTGTGTACTCAGGAAGAACGAGATATTTTACAGCGTGACTCAAACAAGAGCCAGAAGCTGCTAAAGAAGCTCATGTCAGGTAGACTGCAGTCTTCCCACTGAATCACTCTGTAATTGGGCACATTTTGTTGCACTGGAGATTGTTTTTCTGCCCTCTAGCATGGTATACTAGATAGTTTATTTGTTCATTTACTCAGTAAGTATTTTTTAGAAAGTTATCAGTAAAACCACATAACATTGCACAACAAAATGAATGTGCAAAGAGTAAAATTAATACACATGAGACCATGTTCATATAAATAACAGAATAAGTTACAAAATAGAGAAGAGACAACTCTTTGTTTTTAAATGATACAAACAGCTTTTCACTGAAAGTTAAAAGTTTGCATTTAGTGTGCTTTTGCAGTTAGTGTGATCTTGGCTGTTGTGTGCATGCTGAGAACTTGTCAAACTTTGGTGCATGCTTCATTAGTTTGAGAGCAGCTACACATGCAGCACTCAGGTCATTGAGAAAAGATAATTCCTGTAGAAGAATTCTGGTAAATAAAGTACAGAAATGAGGATAATAGAAAACTACCATCAACCGGAAGTGGTGGTGCACACCTGTAATCCCAGCACTCGGGAGGCTGAGGCAGGAGGATTGTTGCAAGTTCGAGACAAGCTTGGGTTACAAAGTGAGTTTAAGACCAGCCTGTACTGCATAGTGAGACCCTATCTCAAAAAGACCAAAAAAGGAAATTACCATCAAAACCACACAGTAGGGGCTGGGGATTTAGCTCAGCGGCACAGCACCTGCTTGCCAAGTCTGAGGTCATGAGTTCGATTCCCAGTACCAGAAAAAAAAAAACAAAAAACAACAACAACAACAAAAAAAAACCACAGTAGTAACTGCAACCAGCAAGGTCCTTGATGCTTGCTAAAATTACTGACTGAAAATTTAAGAGTAACAAATTTAAAAGCTCATGAAAGACAACACTAAAGAAATATTACAGATTGGATTGAAGTATGGAGATGTGATGTATAAATGTGATTTGGATCCTGGATTGTGTCCTAGAATAGAAAAATGACATTAATGGAAAAAATTTAATTTAGTAGAGTCGTACTGATGTGAATTTCTTACTTTTGGGGCGTTTTATGATGCTGGGGTTTGCTAAGTATGATCTCTACTGTTGGGCTACAACCTCAGTCCCAATTTCTTAGTTTTGATCCTTGTACTGAGCGAGTGGGGTACTGGAATTGAAGCTAGAGACTTTGCACCGAGATACATCTCCAGTTTTTTATTTTTTATTTTGAGTCAGGGTCTTGGTAAGTTGCACAGGTGGCAGCTGGGATTACATGCCTGTACCACCATATCTGGCTTTGTACAGTACTTTTATAAGATAAAATATTAACATTAAGGAGGGAAGCTGAGGGGAAAGTTATACAGAAACTCTATTCTTTTTCCGAGTCTTGTAAGTTTTTTATGCTGAAAAATGTCTGCCAAAAATAGTAAAGATTTTTGCAAGGCACCGTGGTGCGCACCTGTACTTGCAGCTACTCAGGAGGCTACGTAGGAGGTGTGCTCCAGCCATGGACCTCATGGCCAGCCTGGCAACATAGTAAGACCCTGTCTGTCTAAAAGAAAAGTTAAACATTTGTTTGTCTTTTGAGACGGGGTCTTACTATGTAGTCTGGCTGGCCTTGATCTCACTGCATAGCCCATGCTGACCTCAAATTTGTGGCAGTCCTCCTGGCTCAGCCTCCCAAGTGCTAGCATTATAGTCATGTGCTGCCATGCCTAGCATTGAACACATTTTTAAAATTAAGTTTATTGGTATATTTTAGGTATACATAATGATCACAGTCATTATAGGGAATTTGTACCTGTTAAACACATTTCTAAAAGAAACAGTGTGCTCCAGGCAGGCATGGTGATATACGCCAGTACTTCTAGTTCTCAGGAGGCTGAGGCAGGAGGATCACCCCAAGTGAGTTTGAGGCCAGCCTGGGCTACATAGTGAGTTTAAGGCCAGCCTAGAATATATAGCAAGACCCTGTCTTAACACCCTCCCCACAAAAAAGAAACAATATGCTCCTTATTTTCCAGTTAAGTATATTGTAATAAGTTCCTATATTAGTTCATAGTTGTTTTTGTTTTATATAAGTAAATTGGTTGTCATTATAAAGTAGTAATCATAGTATAAAGAATGTTTTTCCATTTTTTAATATTTCATAGTTTTTTGCTCTGTATTCTTCTTCTTTTTTTTTTTTTTCCTTTTTGAGACAGAGTCTCCCTATGCAATTCAGGCTGGCCTTGAGCTCGCTTTTGTAGTCCAGGCTGGCTTTGAACTCTAAATGATCCTCCTGCCTCAGCCTCCCGAGTGCTGGGATTACAGGTGTGCACCACCACACCCAACTGTATTTTTCATATTTGCTTTTAGTCAGTAAAAATAATCTTTTGATTTGTTTTACTATGTTAATTACCTGTTTCCCAGTGACTAAGTATCTTGACTTTCAGAATCATAAATAATACCATGAAGAGTCAGTTTGTTAACATGTCTTTTGTTTTGTTTACTGTGCTGGGTACTGAACTCAGGGACACTCTACTACTGAGCTTTGCTCTAGAGACAAGATTTTTTTCATTCATTCTTATTTTGTTATCCCTATTCCTTCCCTTCCCTTCCCCCTTTCCTCTCCCTGTTCCCTTCCCAACTGAACATTTTCTTCCTACTTCCCAAAATCTGTCATCCACTTGAGTGCTTATTTACCCTTTGGGTTTCTCACACAAGAGAAGGGATGTGATATTTAAACATGGGTAACCAATTTATCCCACTTAAGATTATGTTCTCAAGATGCATCCATTTTCCTAAAATGACTCCAGCATACATGGTAGAGTAGTACTCCATTGTATATAAAAGCTATAACTTCTCTATCCTTTCATCAGTTGATGGGCATTTGGGTTGTTTCCAAGATTTAGCTATTACAAACTGTGCCGCTGTAAACATAGGTGTGCATATATTGCTGTGATATGATGCTTTCAATTCTAATAGCTGAGTTGAATGGGACCTCTAACCCTAGTTTTTTGAGGAATCTCTGCACTTACTTCCACAGTGGTTGTACCAGTCTACGCTCCCACCAACAGTGCAGAAAGATTCATTTTTCCCCATAGCCCCACCCTTTTTCCCCACAGCATTTGTTATTGGTTGATTTCTTGATAACAGCCATTCTTTCTGGGGTGAGATGGAATCTGTGTTGTTTTAATTTGCATCTCCTAAATGACCAGTGATGTTGAACATTTTTTCATGTATCTATTTGCTATTTGTATTTCTTCATCTGAGAAGTGTGTATTCATCTCAGATGCCAATTTTTTTTCTTTCTTTTCAGATGCTTATTTTTGAATTAGGTCTTTAAATTTGGGAAGTCTGGCTCTATTAGTTTTTTATATATTTTAGATATTAGTCCTTTTTTGACAAGGTTAGCTAAAGGTTTGTGTATTTGAGTTAATCTTTCAAATAACCAACTCTTCATGAATTGATTCTTGGTACTGTTTTCTTAGTCTTAGTTGCATTAATTTCTGCTCTGATTCTGTGTGTGCATTAGCTTTCATTTGCTTTTCTTTTTCTACAAGTTTGAGGTTCAACGTTAGGTTATATATTTGAGCTTGTTCTGTTTTTCTCATGTTGGAATTCACCACTATCAATTTCCCTTGTAGGACTGCTCTTGTTGTGCCCCATAAATTCTGACATGTAGAAACTGTCTGATTTCTTCTTAATTCTCTCTGTGGTCCATTGGTTTTTCAGGAAAGTGTTATTTTTATTTTATTTCATTTCATTTTATTTATTTATTTATTTATTTATGTCTTTTTGAGACAGGGTCTCACTATGTAGTTCAGGCTGGCCTTGAGCTCATTTTGTAGCCCAAGCTGGTCTCAAACTCACAGCGATCCTCCTGTCTCAGCCTCCGAGTGCTGGGATTACAGACACATGCTACCATGCCAGTCTAGGGTGGTGTTATTTAATTTCAATGTGTTTATGCAGCTTTTGTGGTTGCTTTTGCCATTGATTTGTAATTTCATGAAAACAGTACAAATCTAGAAGACAAGGTAGTTTCACAGATTACATCAATCTGGGTTGGAGGTTGTTTTCTTTTTCTTTTTCTTTTTCTTTTTTTTTTTT